AAAAAAAAAAGGAATGAGCTTGTGCTCATGTTTGTCACTTTCTGAACGGGTGTCTGGAGTGACAAAATGAGAAAAGTGACTTTAGTCATGTGGCCCCTTCTCTGTGCCTGTGGCTCATGCGTGTGCCCCTCTCCTCTTTGTCAATGCTTCCCTTGACCTGGATGTGGTTGGTACACTGGGGTCACCCTAGACCACAGGAAATGTCTGGTTAACACATGAAGAGATGGAAACGCTGGCAGCCACCCCGCAGACGGTTAGTCACGTGCCCCGGGCTGGGCCCCTGCGCTGCATTTTCCACTTAGACCAGCTGGGTTCTTTGCCTTTTTGTTGAAAACAAAAATGTCATATTCTATACAATTGTTCCAGATAAGTATTTCCTTTAGTTAATTGGTTGAATATGTAAATAGAATTTGTATTTTATTTTATTTTTTTTCTTACGGGTTTAAAGTTGGTAGACTTGCTCTGTATAGAATAGATTTAATTCATCTCTCCTTTTGGAGGAGACCTCAGTTTATCCTTCTGTTGTGATTGTCTAACCCTAACTTGATCGATCTTTTTATGGATGTATTTGGCATGAGAAAAGTCTCCTTGCATGAGAAATTGGAATTGTTCATTTTGCATGAGTTTTGCATGATGCTTTGATATTTTGAACTTCCTTACACACTTAAGCTGCACTTCCCTGACAAAGTGAATGTGCTTGTTACTAAGCTCACCAATACTAATAGTTATGTTCTTTTGCATTCCTAACCACGTAACATCAGGAGGATGAGGAGGGAAGCTGGGCTCAGGTTGGAGTCTTTCTATAATATATTCTTCACTACATGTGCAGCAACAAAAAGCAATCGGGAATATGAAAACTTGTGTAGTTTACTCTTCTTGATTTTTTTTGCGTCTTAATTTATTCATAGTAATAAATGATTTAATGATGTAAAAATGAGCTGAAAGCATTAGTGAGGCAAAGCATAGTATTTAAAGGATACGTCTCATGGACAATTTTGAAGATGTCTCCTATGGAGCCATGATAGTTTTAATCAACATAAATTGCTTCATTCAACATATAATTTGTTATACAAAATCCTGTGGCTCAGGCAGCTTCTGAAATTATATATGTAACTCCCTATTGGGGTAACTTGAGTTGTGAGATCTTCTGATGGGAGAGTTATATGCTAATAAATCTCCAAATGTCTTTGGCACAGGGAGGGGGCTGGGCACAGTGCCTCACACCTGTGAGCACTTTGGGAGCCCAAGGGGAAAGGGTTGACACAAGCCTCGGCAATATGGGGAGACCTCATCTTTACAAAAAAAAAAAAAAAGCCAGGCTTGGCTGGTGTGTACCTGTAGTCCCAGCTACTCAGGATGCTGAGGTAAGAGGATTGCTTGAGCCCGGAAAATGTAGGCTACAGTGAGCTATGATGAGGCCACTGTACTCCAGCCTTAAAAAAAAAGTGTGTAGTGACTTTTCCTCTGTGTCTTTGTCTCAGTATTTTACTAAATACTGCCCTACTGCTTTGTCCACTTAAAGGTTTTCTTACTAATGGAATTCTCAGAAATTAAACCTCTTCTCAAGTTATGTGCATTTGAATTTCAGCTCCTTGGTTCCTTGACTGGCCCAGGGCTCTGTTTCAGGTGTTTCCCAGCCTCTGTGTTCTGACAGCTTGACTGAGCGTTCATGACAGTGGCTCCTTGTACCCGCGCTGCTGCATGCAGGCTGCTGTCTCAGCGGCTCATCACTTGTTCTGGAGACTCTCACTAGTGGCATGGTGTTTAGGGACTTTTCAGATACAGATTCACAATAATTTTAAATCAGAATTTTCCTGATTGTAAAGCGATGGTTGAAATAACTGTTTCCTTCTATTTGTACTCCTAAAGTATAACCAGG